TGTTTAACCTCAAAAGTACAGTTTTTAAATTAAACAGTTTCTCAGTGGATCTGTGCTCGACAATACAGCCTAGGTGGAGTAGTCGAACACAGATCCACTGATCCTTCAACACAGAGCATCTTCAGAAGACAAGCTGATAAAATAAATTTTAAAATTTTGTATTGTTCGATACAAGTGTGTGTTGAAACTWAAGAACTGTAATGAACGGTTCGATACGGGTACATGTGTTGTTGCGCTCCTAATATAGATATTTTCTTCTTTTTTAATTGGGGAAAGTTGGTTGTTTGATATCTCAGGGGGGTCTTTTCCTTGTATACTTTGAAAACCCTTTGTTTACATCATATACATAGCCCTGTGCATTTAAGAGGACTGTTTCAAGATGGCATCACGCTCTGCAAATGGWGGCCAATGCCTCTTGATGGGGTTGTCACGTCTATAGTTAGTCATTGACTTTTACAGTTTTTAGCAGTTCTGTGTTATTTTACATTAAGTCAGTCATACTTMTAGTACTTCATGGCAGTTACTAGGCAATGTTTTAACGCTGTTTATACACTCAAAATCATGCTGCATAGAGTGCTGTTGTGTTATTGCTGTCTTTTAGACCCTATTCACCATTTTCATCAAAATTACACAATACCTGAAGTGTTGCCATTATGGAGATACTCGCGCCGTAAACACTTTAGTTTGAGCCGAAGCTCCAATATTTTTTCTGATTGTGACCATGGAACACAAACCTCTGCAAAGACAGTTGTACAGAAATTACAAGAGAGTTTGTGGACCAGCTTCAGTCTGAAAATAAAATCACACAAGTTCAGCTCAAGGAAAAGTTTTTCAAAAACAAAAAACCAAGGAGTGCAATTCTTTGCACTGTTATGAGAACATAAGTCAGTCTAGAGAACTACATTTGCAGTCGTGAACTAACAGTTCAGGTTAGTTTACCTGCCGCTGCCTTTAAGTGTAAATAGGATTTTCATTTTTTGTGATTGTATTTAATTTAATGTTAAAATACTATGTAGCCGCTGTACTAATTTCAGCCGCTTATATACACTCGTGTTTAAGTTAGTCTTATAGAAGCTCTGTGCAGAACTGTCACAATAATTCATTTATAATTATTTTTTACAATTTTTTAAAATAAACATGGGAAGCAGAATGATGGCTGGGACTTCTATTCTCATATTTCAACTCTTGTACAGTGTTTCAACAGAAATAATATAAATAATAGCTTACACACCATAAATGTAATCAAGAACTTTGATGTGCATTCTGCTGACATTTAACTTTTAGGACAGCAGTAGAAATGGTTGTCTCTTTAAGCTTTATACCTTGCAACTACTTAAGAGTTTGGCAGAATATTTTCTAGTCAAGAAACAAAAACATTGCACAAACAAAATGGTTAATGGTACATAATGCCATTTATTCAGTTTAAAAGAGGTTTTTTTAATCAATACAAGTGAGCCATACATTATCAGCGATACTATGTAAAATGTAAGTTGTCTTGTTTGCTCACACCAGTGTGACATCCGTTACAAAAAAAAAGCATCATCCACATCATTTCATTCATAAAATCAAACTATATACAGTAATRAAGAAAGTAAATCATGCTCGAATAAAAAATGCAGAGTGAAGAAAAAGCACATCGGCCCCATATTTGCCAAAAACAACTTCAAACAAAGTAAAGCTGGAACAATCTCCAGTAATAAAAAGCAGTTTACATCAGCTTTCATTCCTATCTTCTTGTTCTTTTTACAATGAATGCAGCTACTCAGAACCCACGGAAGATGGTGACAGATTAACCAAGGCACAGCACACAAAGCCAATCATATCAATTAATGCCACTTTTTCTGAATCTCTACATGTTAGAAAATCTATAGGTACAGGGCCATTCAAGATTGTGTATTTTTGTCTTACACAGCCAGTGACACGCTCGACATGGATCCTTACATGTGCTATCTGCCGTGTTGTTTCCACATCAACAGGAGACAATTGAAACTGTCCGTTTGTAAATGCAGGAACTTTTACCTGAGCCATCATACTACCAGTGGTTGCWTCTATATCAAAGCCTCGGTCTGCCAAAATTAAGTCACCAGGAAGAATATGATCCAAAACACCACAGTGTTCTGTAATGTATTTATCACTGGTTCTACCCCTCCATGCTTTTGATATGAATGAAACTGTCCCCTGTGGAGTGATCRCAATAAGAAATTTAACTGTACTGTGGTGTTTATATGATGACCACGTCTCTGCCCTGACTTCAAGGTTCGACGGCCGATCAATCAACACTTCAAAACAGTCAATAATGACTGCACATTTACTGCCAAAGTGTTTCCTGAACTGCACAGGCATGGTTTTCCTCAAAAGTTCTCTSTCAGGCCAGACAACAAGTGGGCTCATCCTYACATACATTACACTAATGACATCTGAAATTATRCTGGAAACAGTAGATAARGAAACACCAAATTCATATGACAGAAACTTTGCTGAGACGTTCAGGCGCAGTCTCATCAGGGTGATAATCAAAAGTTTGAATTTGTTCACTGACGTGTTTTCAGGTAAATATGCAGCCAAGTATGTGAAAAGTGAAAACAGTGTTTGCCAATTTTGTAGGCCAGTAAAAAAAAGCACCTTTTCATTGTTCTCTCTAAAACCATCCTGATCCCACTTGGCAGTGTGGTTGGCAGCTTCAGCCCTGAGCTCTTGATTTTCAGTCCTCAGCGCCTGCAGGTCAGCACTCTTACTGTTGAATAGCTCAGCTGTTAACTCTGTCTGTGTTCCTGTAGACTTGGGCTGATCATCAGATTCTGCGCAGCCTGGCTCTTCAACACATTTAGCAGCACTCAGGTCTAATTTCCTTTTTCTTTTTTGTCGTCGGTTGAAAGGTTCAGCTGCCAGAGACGTCATGCCACCGTCAGCACCAACTGCTACAGACGTCTCTGCAGCACACATCTTCAGTGAAGGCGCCCAGTCTGGATCATCCTTGCTGTACAATGAAGCACGTTTGCCTAAGACAAGAAAACAATGTGATAAAATAATTACTGAAAAGAGGTTATAAATAATTGTTGTGTTAATCGGCATAAGCATTTCAAAACAGGAAACACAACACAGCACAGGAACGTCAGTGTAATGACACAAGAACAGTTAATTTAGGTTATTTCATGTGCTTGTTACATATTTAGTGTTTTTATGTTTTCTTGCTTTTCAATTAGAAAGCTGTCATTTCTCAAGATTGATTCATTAACAACCAAGAAAACAGTATCATTTACTATGTCATGATTAGGAATGGGTACCAAATTTGATACTTTTTGATGTGAAGACCGAATTCTGTCGGTACTACCGAGTATCTAGTCACATAACATCCAACGGTACCATGTTTCGGTACCTAAACGCATCATTGCGACCATATTGG